CAAACCTTAGACAAGGCTGACAAGGTCAAGTAGCCTGGCCACGTTCCCCGATTTCAACTTTAAGTTGAAGGCCTATCTCAGCACCCAACTCCAAACCAAGTTCAAAGTCAAATCGAGACAGGGAAGTGAACAATTTACGTTCAACGGACGAGTAATGAACAAATACAACAAAAGCATGAGCAAAAAAAAAAAAGAAGGTAAATCGATACCAATATTATTTGTCTCTGTCAATAAATATTAATTTGTTTTTGTTTAGCTGGCACCTTTTTCAAAGTGCACAAATTATATTTTTGTTCACACGACAAGCTGCCAACCTCCAGCTGCTGATCGAGCTGTGCCAAAGGCCGTCTCATCTACTTACAGACCTACCTAGTGCATATGTATGTATTGTACAGATATGCCTATGCTCACATTAATATATACACTTTGTTAACTACTTATCATTGAAGCACTTGCTGCCAATGCAAAACGGGGAGTGTGTTTTATTGACATCCAATTTGTATCTTAGAGGCGAAATGCTTCAATTTTTTTGAAGAGGCTGCAGCTTCTTTATGCTGTACTACTTTATACTCTACTACTTTATACTGTACTCTTTTATAATATAGTACAAATTGCCTTCAATTGAAGTACGAATATTGAATTGAGTCGGAAGTGCAGTTCTGTTTCTGTTTCTGTAAAATGAAATACACGAAATACATTGTTATTTCCTTGGACAATATGTTTATAGCATTATTTATATCCATAACATTATTAAACTCCAATCTTAAATATAACCCGACTTTCAATCAGGAAGCATCAAATCAGAATTATTTTAACTAGGCTTTTGACGCTTAACCAGAATTTACACGTTAATTAGAGGCACATTTAAAAGGCTATTTCGATGTCGAGTTCCTTTAAACTTGTTGTTTTGAATATATATTTGGCTTTTGGTCCACATTTTGTGCGTAACTCGATGAAGTTGAGAGGGAAAAGTTGACTAACTGCCAGTTGACAGATCATTGACAGCGTTTCGGCTAAGAAGCATATCCCTCCATCCTCTCTCTCTCTCTCTCAAAAAAAGAGATCATCTCGACTGCATACGCAAGTAGATTGCTTTAAGCCAGGGAAATGGAATTAAATACTTTGTTATTTTTCATTTTTCATCTACACGTTGACTTTGAAAATTGCGCAGCGTGAAAAATGTTTTGAGTGGAAACGCGATGAGGAAGTTTCTGCTCGTTACCGCTTCCCATCTCAACTAAGTCTCTCTCTGTCTCTCTCTCTCTCTCTCTCTCTCTCTCTCTCTCTCTCTCTCTCCCTCTCTCTTCCCCTCCTTACACGAAATCATTGTTCCTCAACTGTTTTAAAATATCCCACTTAAGGTAGTCACAAACTGGTTTATCGACTTTTCGTTTGTTCTACACAGACACACACACACACACACACACACACACACACACACACACACACACACACACACACACACGCACACACACACACACACGTTGAGAATGAGAAGCAACAGCTGCAGGTACTGGGCAACATAGTTGGGAAACCGACTTGGCCATGTCCGGCAAATGCTCAATGATCAAGCCAAGTCAAGTCAAGTCAAGTCGAGTCGAGCCGATTCGATATTATTCAGCTCACTTTTGTGGCTCATGCAACAGCCATGACTCAGTCGAGGAGACTCTGCTCCGATTAGATAAAAGCCATTGGCACATGTCAACTGATAGCTGATAGCCAATAACTGATAGCTGATAACACATAACTGATAGCTAATAGCTAATGGCAAATACGAGTATATGTTAGGCAACATTCTCGAGTGCACTTTTGCACCTGTTCATGCTCAGCATCTGAAACCCAATCAGAGCATGCTAATTATTTATAAATGTTATGCACATACATACATGGTATTGTTGTAAATTACGAGTGCAGTTAAGAACGGCTTTGGTTAACTGTTAAAGCCAGCAAGCAGGCCGCGAAAATTGCAATTTTAATTACTGACAACGTCAACAACAACAACAACAACAACAACAGCAAAACCAAACAAAAAACCAGCTAAAAAAAGATCAGAAGGCAGTTCAGAAACACAGAAATTTATACATGTATACTATGATTACCTTTTCAATTGACAACAACAACAACAACAACAACGCGGACGAGTGTTTTGGCCAAGACAACAAAAGCCAATTACATGACAAAAAGTGGCAAGCAAACAGCAAATAATACAATTAATAGAACACCGAATTCTAAACACGCTCACCACATTTTTCCTAAGCTAATTAATTTGTTTTTTCTTAGACAAAAATGTATAAAATACGATTTTGACTTATTTTTTGTTTTTGATAAGTTTGAGTATTGAACTAAGCTAGAAATCTACTTTAAATATGTATATATTGAGCAATGAACACTTTTTTCTTGGTTTGCTTAAAGCTTAACAAGTTTAATGTATTTCCTGTCAAGGTTAAAACGGGAGAGAAGAGAAACCAGTAAGTAAGAAACACCTGGTATCTATTTTTATATTTGTATGCCCTGTTCCCACTGAAAATGCGTAATAAGGGTATAAAGAAGTTGTGCAAAATCCAATCCCATAAAATATATATGTATTCCTGATTAGGATCAAAAGCCATTCTGTCTGTCTATATAAGATAAGAGCTAGATTATTTTTAAATTTGGAAATTTGCAGATTAAGTCTCTGTGCCGAATAAATATTTGATCAATATTTCTATTAGAGCATTGTATAAATATTCGCTAATATCGATTTTCAATAGCAATAAACACGAGTATTTATTAGAATATCAAAGAAGTGTATGCTTTTGTATACGTAAAGACTTCGAAGCAGGGTAACGACAAGGCGAGCACTCTTGACTAGAGCATTCTGACGTGTTTGCTTTAAACACTTGCAGTTGTAATTAACTAAGTGGAGTCACAGCGTTGACAAGCCCGTAAAATTCTGCGTAATTAAATATGTACATAAGTACATACATATATACTATATATATATATATGTACGTGTTGTTGATTTGATTACGAGTAGCATTGTATTTAATTAACTTTATGATAAACATAAAATGTTTAAAGGATTAAAGTTGAGGAGTTCAGGAAAAAAACACTTTTGAAATTTAAATAATTGTAGAATATATAAAAAGAAAGTATTATTGTTGGCTTAATTTAAGGCAGTTCTTGAGTTTGACAATTCTTTTTTCTTGGTAGTTTTTAGTCAGCCAAACTGACAAATTATTAACTGTTATGCATCTTTTTAATGCACTCAATTCAATTATTCCATATTGGCTTAGTTTATGTTGTTATCATCTTATTTAGCCACAAAATTAAATATTTAGAGGGTGTTTTCAAAGCATTGGCTTTTGCCAGAGCACAATACTGGGAATCGCAAATTATTTTTACGGGTCAAATATGTAATTTTTTATGCGCTTCGATTGAGGACAGGTGTATTTACATAAGAATAAATTTATTACTTTCTTTTATACCAAACAAACAAAAAAAAACTAATCTTTGGAAATTGTAGGACATATTTTTATCAGAGTGCTGACTTCGATTAGGGATCAAACAAGCTGCTAGTTGCTTAGTGCGAGCGATTGCCTTAAAAGGCGAGGAGTTGCAACAACTGCAGCTGCCCCGGGGCAGCAATTGTTGTTCGCTGCTCGTTGTTCGTTGCCAAGTGCGTTTAAAATTGCGTTGTTTGCAATTGGCAGCTGCTACGGCAGCAGCAGCAGCAGCAACAGCAGCAACATCAGCAACATCAGCAACAATAACAACAATAACAAGAACTACTTAATGCAACAACGTCGCGTTTTAGTGCTTTGGGCGCTTTGGTCACGCTCAACTAAATCGGCGCGCGCATTTAACGGTGTTTTATTATTTTAACGCTTGTTGTTGCCGCTGCTGCCGCCGCTGCTGCTGCTGCTGCTGCTGCTGAAGATGATGATTATGTTGATGATGCACTGAACGCAATCATTTTTCAACATGTGTGAAATTAGACGCAATTTGAATTGCAGCAAACGTCGCGCATAATTGCAAACATATTCTAGCTGTTCTACTTGGCGTCCTGCAGCAAACAGAAAGAACGAAATAAACGGGCTAAAAACAATAACCATACGCACAAGTCGAAGTGAAAGAGGAACAGGACTCGACTCGAAGTCGCTTTTGTTGTTTGACTTTTGCACGAGCGCGTGCTGTATTGATTTTTAGCACAGGTTCACAACTCGCACACACACACACACACACACACACACACGCACACACACTCATTCTTGCACAGTGGCAGGAACACACCCTGCTGCTGCTGCTGCAGCGATGGCATGTGTATCTGTATCTGTATCTGTATCTGTAAATGTATCTGTATCCCTTGGATACAAAGTCAAAACATCATTGGCTTAGACAGCCCCAAACAGCGGCTCAAAACGCACACAAAAAAAAAACAATTATATTTGACACTTAAAGGACCAAAAAGCTTTTGATTTTTATAATCTATATATGTATATATACACATGTATATCTGTATAAACAAAAAAAAAAAAATAACAATAACAAACACAACATTTGATAGTAGCGCAAGTTAACTCACTTTTTTTTTGTTTATTGCATTTTTGGTGGGCCAACAAACAACAAATTTACAAATCTTGGTTTCGCGCGCGTCAAAATTTGTAAATACTGCTCACTTGCACGCAAACAAATAAATAACAAAAACAGAAAACAGTAGTAGTATTAACCATGAACACTTTGAGCGCGCGCAACGGTCGCGATCCGCTGTACGTCCGTTTCGCTTGGTACTGTTTTTTCTTCTGTAACTGACGATGGGTGCGTTATCGGTATCGTTAGTTCGTTATTGGTATCGGTATTGGTACGTGTAGCAAGCGCAACGCTGCATATCGATGTATCGCTCGCTGGGCATATCGATATGTCATTACACACATCGTGCATCGGTGTTGTTGTCCATCTCTGACGGCTTCTACTTTTTTTTTGTATCGAGCAATAAATGCATTTACTAGCAGAAAGAAAGTGAATCAAATGTGTTAAATGGTAATTTGCATTAAACAATTACAAAATTGAGTAATACTTTTTGTGCGTGCGGCATGTGTTTGTGTTCGATAAACTGTGGTCGTTCTATGCACTAATCATAATAAATCAAAATTTATTGGCACTCGTTGAGCCAACCAACCAACCCCCTCCGCCCTCCCTCTAACCACCACCCACTCTTAAAAAAACACACAAAATACGCATTGTTATGTTCCCGTTGTTTGTTGTTGTTGTTGCTGCTGCTGCTATTAGTGGCGGGCAGGTTAAGTGCTTTGGTGGGTGGGTGGTTGTGGGCGGTTGGGCCGACAAAAAAAAAGAAAAACCCCTCAATTCTATTGATTTTTAACAATACTCTATGCCAATATCACGCACACCACACACACACACATCCAAGTACACACACACATACACACTCACATATGCGTGCTTACAAAGTGTTTTTTTTATTTTATTTTTTGAGGTGTCATCTAATTCGCAATCTCTGCAGACGATGACAAATGCCCGCGTTGCAGCAAGGTAAGGGTGAGGTTGCCTCGCAGTGAAACACACAAAAACAATGCAGCCGGCTGCTGCTGCAGAGTCATTTACCTACTTGTGGTGGTGGGGGGGGGGGGGGTGGCGGTGCTGAATTGTGCAGTGAATACCCGCTATGGCGTACAGTCATATTAACAAAGAAATAATACGAATAAATAAAGAAAAAACGAATCAAATTTAATATAGGAATGACAATTAATGTGACAATAAATATAGCGCCCTGTTTATTTTTAAATTTTAATTAATTTTGAAATTCGAATTATTTCAACTTAGCAAAAAACATATAAATTTACTTCGCTTTAACTGATAAATCAGCATAAGAATCCAAATTGCTTATTGTATTGTTTTAGCTATTAGCGAGAGCGCACTGTAGTTGTGTTGTATCATATATCGTATATATATATATTTATATATATATAGATATGTAATATATATATATGTATATACATATATATATGTGCACCACGTAGACTGACGCCTTTGTTGCCAAGCGTTGTCTCCGCATCTCGTCCTGGCGGCTGCACTAACATTTTTTTTGGAGGCCAAGTTTACGTGCGCAAATTTACACAAATACACACCTACACACACACACAGACACACTCGCACACACAAATAAATGCGTTAGCACGTGTGGAATTTTATTGGGTTAATTGGCACCTTTTGCATTGATTTTTATGCAAAACTCCCAGCAAAGCACAACAGAGAAAACAAAATAGAATTTATAAAACAATGGCAACAACGAAAAGAACAAGATGCATGTAAAGTGATTCATTCGACTATTCATTGTATTAGATCATCAGAGATTCAATTTGTCATTGCTGGTAGAAGTAATCGCAGCGTTTTTGTTATGTTTTTCAGGCATCTGACTCAAAGCGTAGCATGTCAGCAGCGGCAGTTGAGTTAACCACTGGCTGCTGAAAGGTAGCCCAAGCCGCTCCACAACAGAGCATCCAGCACCCAACGCATCCAAGCAACGCCCAGTCAACATCCCGAGCGTGTCCCCTGAGCGTGTATATAACGCGCTCAGTATGAACTCCTGCAGTGACAGCAGCAACGATTCGATGGAACCAAACGTGAATCATTTAACTGGCTGCGGTGGCAGCGGCAGCGTAGGCGGCGTCGGAGGACACGCGGACCTGCACATGAACTTTGGCAAGCAGGCAGTTTCACAGGAGCGATACGTATGGGAGATGCGCACACGCAGCCCAAACGTGACACCGGCCAGCACTGTGCTCAACTCACCGGATCTGAATGCTGATCTGCAATATACGCCGATGCATCATCATCACCATCATCATCATCAGGCATTCGAGCAGATGTCGCCGCCCCATCAGCTGCCTGGCTACCTTAGTACCCAACATCAGCAGCAGCAGCAGCACCACCACCACCACCAGCAGCAGCACCACCAGCAGCATCACCAGCAGCATCACCACCAGCAGCAACAGCAGCAGCAGTCGGCTTATTATTACCAACGGCCTCATCCACATCAGATACGCGTCGGTCGCAGCCCGGGCAGCAGTCAGTTTGAGCCAGAGGTGAGCTGGTCACACAAACAAACAAACAAACAATAAAAACGGATGGGGAACATCGGTTAACGGTAGCCAAGTTAAGAAACAAACAATTAACTCAATACTTAGCAGATATCCATTAACATGCATATATATATATATATATATATATATATAGAAACCACAAACTAGATTCGACTCTTAACTTGTGTCACAGCATTTTGTTGCAAACTTTTTAACGCAATTAAACTATTAAACTATTTCGCACAGTGGAATGAGTTCAATTACGATACTTGAAATCAACTTGTGAAAACAACACATTGTTGTAAATTGAATTTATGGAATAGGCGAAATTCGAAATTCGATTTTTGAATACAAATTGTATAACATTTTCTAATCTCTGCTGCCTGTCGGTTCAAACTTGGTCTACAGATGCGATTTAATTAATTCTCTAGCCTCAAATATTTCAAAGAGTTTATTCAAAATATAATTTTTGTTTCCAAAATACATTCAATAATGAGTTGAAATAAGTTAACCCGATGAAAGGAAACTAATTTCGTATCGCATTTATTAGAAACTCAACTATTTTTATGTTTAATTAATTTTGCTTTGCTTTTGGATTACCCATAGGGCCTGGCGAGTCCCGGCTCGCCAACGGATGTGGGCAAGGCTGATGGCCAGTGTCTGCGAGATGGCGAGATTGTTGTCTTCGATGACATCGACACGAATTGGATGAACAAGCCCGCGGTGCTGCCTGCCCCAGATAGAGGCAGCAATGAAGATGTCCTCAAGGTTACAAAGATGATTGGGCAGCTGCCCATTGCCGATTATGAGGGTTCGCCGCGTCGGTTTGGCAATCAGTCGGGCAAAAGTGTTGGCTACCCAAAACGACCGCCCGGCTTTCCGCAACGCGTCTCACCTGCCAAGCAGCGTGCGGATAATGATGTGATGGGCAGCCTGGCTGGCAAGGCATCCGTTGGCAATTTGATTGATCTGATTGATCATGATCATGGTACGAACGCAACGGCATCCTCAAAGACGCCCACTTTTGACTATCTGTACGAGTTCTCTGAGACGCGCAAAGTGCTCGAGGAGTTCTTCAAAGGCAATCCGGATGACGATGATGACGAGAAGCGCTTTGCCGACTACACAACGGAAAGTGGCGAGGATGTGGCCAGCTCGGTAAGTTGCCAACTAAATCACCTCACCAAATAAATGCTAAATTTTGTGCACAATATTGTAGGACAACACGACGCAGCCGCGCGTTTGCGATGTGGATAAACATGTCGAGCAATCTTACATTGGCCAGCGTCTAGCTAGAATACCCAAAGACGAACTCTACATGGTGCACCGTTCGCCAAGGATGCAGGTGAGTCTCAGCCATATTCTGCCTTCTACATTCCCATAACCCCCGCTGTGGCAGTCCGCTCTTGATTTAGACTTCTGGACGCGTCCATTGCAAAAATGTATTATGGAAAGTTGACAATTATTATTAGAATATATTGACTGGCATTCGATCATTATATAAATCTGCTGGATTTTTCAAATGCATCGTGATATATAGTTGTCAGCAGATTGACTTTGATCTGCTGGGTCTATAAACTTCGTATAAATCTTAGCTTATTTAGTAAGCTAGCTCAGTCATCAAAATTATTTATTGGCACAAAAGTGCATAAATTTGACATGTGCTCTTGGTGCATTGTGCAAACTATGAAGCCCTTTGGGGTAGGATTGATACCGGATTACTGCCAGCTGAGCTGAGCTGCTTTAATTGACACAATTTTAACCCACAAGGCTTAGTGAAACTGACACTGGCAATCGATTTATTTTCAGACAAGTGAGCATAATGCCTACCAGGAACACAACGACATCGAGTTGTATATTGATTCGAACAGTCGCAGTAGCGGCGATCTGGCCGACACTGAACTGGAGGCAAATCTGCGTCGGCATTCACGGAACTTTACACTATCGCCAGAGACGACGGATTACGATTCGAATTGCGGCGATTTGGACAGTCTCTCAAATGATATCAATTGTACGACAACCGATTATGGTAAGCTCTACACCAGTATGCCCGTGCTGGAGGATGGCCTCAGCAGTGGACATGCCTCGGATACCGAAAACAATGTCTCCGTCGTTTGCGACAAGCAACTGCAGCCACAGCAGTCGCAGCAGCAGCAACAACAGCAGCAGCCACAGCAACAACAGCAACCTCAACAGCAACAACAGCAGATCATTGACGAACACGAGCACAATGGTAACAGCGATAGCGAACGACTGCAAAATGAATACAACAGCGTTACAGCAGCAGCAACAGCAGCAACAACAGCAGCAACAACAGCAGTGACAACAGCAACAGCAGCAGCGGCAACAGATGACTCACATCCGATCGAGTTTGTGTTGCCGCCGCAGTTACCCGAAACGCCATCGATCACGCCATCGCCCGAGCAGTGTGCGGAAGATTTGGAGCCGCAGTTGGCGGTGTCTGCTGATAGTGACAGTCCCGCAGAAACAGAAACGCACTACGGTCCAGTCTATGCCGCTGCACCGGCGGCCAGCAACAAGCCATCATCATCTTCATTGTTAACATCAGCAACAGCAGTAACAATAGCAGCAACAACCGCAGCAGCAGCAACAACAGCAGCAACAACAATAGCAGCAACAACAGCAGCAGCAACAACAGCAACAGCAGCAACAACAACAGCTGCAGCTGCAGCGCCAGTTGAGATACAAGAGGCCATGAAAGAGATACGCTCCGCTTTGCAGCGCGCTAAAACACAACCCGATAAGCTCAAGTACTGTGATGAAGTGCTGCCCCCGGATCCGGATTCGCCAGTTTGGGTGCCGCGCAAGAGTGCAACAATAACAGCAACAGCAACAACAACTACGGCAACGGCAACGCCGGCGATTCGCCTCGAAGATGAGGAAGCGGATACCGATCTGGAAACGGATCGGCTGCTGGGTCAGCAGGACTTCTTTGCGGAAAAGGTAAGTGTATCTGATTTGTACAGATATAGAAACGTATTCATTTGCCAACATCTGGTTGTGTTTGCTTGTGTAGACGACATCATTGACCGGCACCGCTGACAGCAATGCGAATGGCTTGATCAATAACAACGGCAGCAGCAGCATAAATATCAGCGACACCAATAGCAATCCCAAGCCGCAGACCTATTCGACGGCAACCATACGGCAGGGTATTGGCACTTCGCTGACGGCCAATTCGCCGGACATTTGCCAGATTGTGGGCACCGCGGATGTGTCACTCAGTTCACCGGAGAAGCTGCAATATTCAAAGAGCCCCACGGGCTCCATCAAATCGCTCAAGGTCTCGGCCAACACCGATAAGAAAGCCCATTCACGCAACAAGGAGGGTAAGTGGCATATGTATATCTTTCTGTTCTTTGTTATTGTCAATGTTATTGTTATATTGTGTGTGTGTGTGTGTGTGTGCGTACAGAAACGCCCCCCTAACAAAATGATGAATCAATCTATTGTGTGCTGTATTTCTGTATTTCTCAATCAATCAATTTTTGACTTTCACGTTTTTCTTTTTGTCAAACGCTGCATATTGAAATTATCATTTTCTGTAATTGATGGTGTGGTGCCTGCCATGTAAGTGAATGCGCTCTATATCTTTCTCCCTCTCCCCATTCTCTCTTGTCTCTGTCTCTGTCTATCTCGTTTTTCCCTGCCCAACAGCCGAAACATCATTTGCTTCATTTATAGTAAACTCATACACTATGTTTCCGTTTGCATGCATGTTTTAGCAGACATAGGCATACATTCGATTATTCGATTATTCGGTTAGCAGGCAACAACATAAAAAACATAATTGTATTATAATATCAGACAACACAGAATTTCAAAGTAACTGCCGGGCTCATCTGCCTAACAAATTTGTTAGTGTTCATTTGTGGTAAAGTAAGAAAATCGAAAAGACATTATCTTTATGAGAACGTATACATATATAAGATTATACAACCGAAGATTACAAATACCCTTGTAGACCGGGCTTAATCAGCTGACATCTAAATTTTTGTGCGAAGCTCGAAAGCAAAAATACGGATTTACACACAAGTTTTAAGAGGATAGCTTAAGCACTGACACTTATAGAATATATATATATATATTTTTTTCATGGGGCTGGAGACGTCTTCTTCGATGCGTTACCAAATGCACAAGAGAAGTATCATACGCTCAACAAGGGTATAAAATAATAATCTGATAGTTTCAGTTCGCTTTTGTTAACAAACATCCAAAAATGACTTAAAACTAGTTCGATTAGTGTAGAAACTATCCCTGTATATATTAACACATATATATATATATATTTATATATCTATATATATATATATAAATAAATATATATACATATATATATATATATATATATATATATTTACTTAGTTATTTGCCAAACTAAATGATTTATATCTGGTCATTATCAGGTTTATTGGAACCCAAAGTGCTCATCGAAGGCGTTCTGTTTCGTGCCCGATATCTGGGCTCCACGCAGCTAGTGTGCGAGGGTCAGCCGACGAAATCAACCCGTATGATGCAGGCCGAGGAGGCCGTTTCCCGCATAAAGGTGTGTAGATCGAGCTCATCAGTTCAGTTCAATTGTTTCAGTTGCGCTCCTTTAGCAAAAATTATGCTCGTTTAACTGTGGCTCTGTCTCTCTCTCTCTCTCTCTCACACACACACACTATCTCTCTATTCGTTTCTCGCTTTCTCGTCCATTCCCCAATAAAACAAATAAAAAAATAAACAAAAATATTAACAACAACCCATGCTGCTCACTCCTTGATATGTTTAGGCTTTGGTAAGCAACAAACAGAAACCTAACACTTCGAATTGAGTGTTGTCCCAGTTCTGTGAACAGTTTGTAAATGTTGTTTGTTTGTTTTGTTGACAGGCGCCCGAAGGCGAAAGTCAGCCCAGCACCGAGGTGGATCTGTTCATATCAACCGAGAAGATAATGGTGCTCAATACGGACCTCAAGGAGATTATGATGGATCATGCACTGCGCACCATCTCCTACATAGCGGACATTGGTGATCTCGTTGTGTTGATGGCCCGTCGACGCTTTATACCCAATGGTAGTGGCGTTGTCGTCGATTCCCTCTCATGTCCCGGCCCGGCTGACACAATCGATGGAGAGCCATTGAAGGAAATCAGCAAGGAGAGCGGCTCCTCTAACAAGCACAATCGTACCCCGAAAATGATTTGCCATGTGTTTGAGAGCGATGAGGCGCAATTCATAGCGCAATCGATTGGTCAGGCTTTTCAGGTGGCGTACATGGAGTTCCTTAAGGCCAACGGCATTGAGAATGAGAATCTGGCCAAGGAGATGGACTACCAGGAGGTACTCAACAGTCAGGAAATATTTGGCGACGAGCTCGAGATCTTCGCCAAAAAGGAACTCCAAAAGGAGGTTGTTGTGCCCAAGGCTAAGGGCGAAATTCTCGGCGTTGTCATCGTTGAGAGCGGCTGGGGCTCCATGCTGCCAACAGTGGTTATTGCCAATTTAATGTCCGGTGGAGCCGCTGCTCGCTGCGGACAATTAAACATTGGCGATCAGTTGATAGCCATCAATGGCATGAGCCTCGTCGGATTGCCGCTTTCCACCTGCCAGAGCTACATACGCAATGCCAAAAACCAAACTGCCGTCAAGTTCACCGTTGTGCCCTGTCCGCCTGTCGTCGAAGTCAAGATTTTGCGGCCCAAAGCTCTCTTTCAACTGGGCTTTAGCGTACAAAATGGAGTGGTAAGTGGCGCGATATCATTCATGACGAGTCCAATATACATAATTATGGATATATACATTTTGCGAAATCAACAAAAATGAGGAAAATTCATCTTTTTGCTTGTGCTTTCTACATTCAATTTTGAATTTGTTGGTCTAAGAAAATAATAAGTATATATTCTTTTTTTTTCGGAACAATCTGGAAAAACGTTCCTCAACCCAATCCGAAAAGAGCCACTTTAAATTCGAAATTGTATCATTAAGTAAAGCTTAAAGTATTGTTACTTAATTATTTAATTCGTATAATTTTTTATTTCGTATTTTGTATGTTTTTATTCCATATTATTGATATAATACGAGCTTGTTAGTTAGCCAAATTTTTCTGTATATATATCTGCTGTAGATGTGAATATGTATGTATGTAGTTGTTATTTAATTGTTTTCTATCTGTTTGCTTCATCTGCAGATCTGCAGCCTTCTGCGTGGCGGCATTGCTGAACGCGGCGGTGTCCGCGTTGGCCATCGGATCATCGAGATTAATAATCAAAGTGTTGTGGCTGTGCCACACGATACCATCGTCAAGCTGTTGTCTTCATCTGTGGGCGAGGTAAGTGATATACTGATATATCGTTGACATAGATAGATATATGATTAACATGCAACACTTTTGCGACCATTCTGCAGATTTTGATGAAAACGATGCCCACGTCCATGTTTCGTTTGCTCACCGGCCAGGAGACGCCAATTTATATTTAAATAATAATGTCTTATATATGCATATATTATCATGCACCTCACAGCACACACTAAGGACTAAGGACACGCATGTCTGTTGTTGATCCAGCCGAATTCTATACATTTACTTTAATTAAGCCAAGCAATACAAAGTGCGGTCAAACTATCTGAAATTAAAACCAAAAAAAAAAAAAAAACAAAAAAAAAAGGAAAAAAAAAAAAGAAAACACAAAGGAAAAGAAAAAGTACTCAAAACTACTCATCTAATTAAACTAAGCACTCGCAGAATAATAGAATGTACTCACTTCAGCTATGGCATACAGATTTGCTTTATTTGCTTTTCGTTGTACTTTCTGTTTTCTCAATGTACATGAAAAAGACTGAATTTTGTGTTATGTGTACATGTGTGAGTGCGTATCTGTGTGTGTGTGCTTATGTGTGTGTGTGTGTGTGTGCTGGTGGGTGTCCAATTGTGAGTGAGGGTTGAGCGTACAAATTGTTCAGACAAATGTCAAAAACTAGGATTTTGAGTGTATTTAACGTAAGCATAACAAGCCATAGAATGTGTGTGCCTGTGTGTGTGTCCGCGTGTGTGTGTGTTTGTGTGTGTGTGTGTCTGCGTGTGTGTGTCTGCGTGTGTGTGTGTGTGTGTCTGTATGTGTGAGTGTGAGTGTGTCCGAGTAAGTGTGTGTGCGAGGCAGAGAGAGAGAGGTCAAAATGGGAGATACGGGCAATACTCTATAAGAATTGAATTGAATTTAATTTGGTTGCCAACGCGCTAGACAGACAGCAATAACTTATTAAATGATCATTTTGTGTAAATTAATTTTATTAACTACATTTATAATTTGCAGTTATGCCAAAAAAAATAAACAAAAAACAAAACAAAACAAAAACAAACAAACAAATATTCGTTGTACGAGTAAAGATGAGATGACATTTCGTTGAATTTTTTTTCTATGTATAGATATATTATGATTATTATTATTATTGTGAACACATTATTGTAATGTACTAAATGATTGTCAAAATACTTAGCATAGTTATAACAATGCCTGATATAAGCAAACAGTAAACAGTAAACAGTAAAAACATTAAATGCATTTAAGTAACGTCGTAAAAACAATGTGTATACTTATAGTAAATGTGCAAATTGAAATTTTGCACTGTTTTCGATTAATGCCATTTAACAAAGAGAAAAAGCAAAAGCAAAAGCAACCGCAACCGCAACAATAACAAAATCCAGAGAAAACAAAAGCAAAATAGAACAGCTACAAAGTAATATGAAGAACAATAAATTGTGCATTGAATTAATTCTGTTAAGCAAAGGAAAAAACATAAATACATATATTAAAGAGAGCTTATTTTTGCTATAATTGACAACCAAAATGAGAACGAAAAGTAAAACGCAAATAATAAATGCATAAGTATAATATAAAAATAATAACAAAAATTAACATGTATGTACATATAAATATGTATGTATGTAATTATTGACTTAATAGAAATCTGAAAGCAAATGAGATTATTTCCAATATTGCAAGTGCTAAATGTGCAGGTAACCACAAATTAAAATTAATGATGTATACAAATATTATATACATATACATATACATATACATACACATACATACATACATAAATACAAACGTATTTAATTAACTTTGACCGTTCGCATTGGCATTATTTTTGCAAAAAACACAAAGCCGAAGCGGAGCAAGCAAATTCAATAATAAATTTGTAGAGACAATTAACAATTAGCTCATGTATGCAAAACGTGAATATAACTCTTATCGCTATGCGCCTAAAACTAAATATGTAACTACCACACTAACTGTATACTATCTATTACTATTTATTTATTTACACCAGATCGAAATTATAAACAAACCGAGTCTAACAAAGACAGAAACAAAAACAAAAACAACAACAAAATAACAAGTCGAATTCGGTCCGAAAGCCTTTCAGGTGAAGCGCAGCTTAATTTGATATGAATAAAAAATAAAATTACATTGATAAATGCAAACATGTAACTCGACAAGAAGTAACATTTGAATACATACAAAATACATTACATATTTATTAATTAACATTCAATTGAGTTTTCACTTGTTTGTGGGATTAAGGCGAACATTCAAGAATCGCAATAGCCGCAGAGCTACCAATTGGATTACTAGCAACCACTAGTATCATATATATATATATGTATATATCCACTTGCCTTTCTTTTTGACTTGTAAAATATAATTAAGTGGGAAACCAATTGCAAGTTTGTCTAAATTTGCTTTAAGAAAGTGATAAATTGCTTGCTTGAATCTGTCAATTGAAAGTTTCACCGTGTGAAGGTTAGAATGCAATCAAATTTGGTGCCAATTTTTTATTCACTGATTGTGTCATTGAAAATAGCCCAACTGGAATGCAATAAAAAGTTGTCATCTAGGCACATGTCACAGTCAACGTCCAGAGACTGTCGAACAACGTGTCGTCCCGCTGCATTTGGACATTAGCAAAACACCACGTTGTGCATAACTGAGTTGCCTCTCAGTCGAATATCGGAAACGGAATCCCCTGCTGTTGCTGACGCCAATATTTGAAGGACTCGTAAAACAAGTTTTTACAGCCCTACACCCAGACAAAATGTGTAACAAGAAAGTATATGTACAATTTGTCCAATGTTTGCTTTTGTGCAGCAAGTTTGGGTTGCTAGCTTATTGATGACTTAAAGTCACCAAATTTTAACCTGTTTTGATTAGAATTGATAGGTTAAGGATCTCGATCAGCCATGACTGTCTGCTTGAGTATATGTGTTGATATTAACACCAAAACATACGAAAATTTGATTTAAAATAGATTACATACCAATAAAATCGGAATGATTTTAAGTATAATTAAAATTCATTCTACATAGGGTATCCCCGAGTTGAGCACACTTTACTCAGTCAGCCAACAGTCAGTTTTTTTTTCTTCAATTTTGCAGCTGTGGGTAAATCCCAAAACATGTTTTAGTATTGCAGACAGACGTACCAATGTACGTGTCGGACAACACAGGAAGCGTCCAATATTCAAAATCGCAAACATTTCTTATTTGGCCGTTCTCAAAGCCAAAACAAAAATAAATAAATAAGAGAGGCATGTGTGCATACACATAGGTAAACGCGAACGTGGATTCTTTGTGAATGGCCGTGGGCAATGGCAAAATCGCAGTCGCATTTTTTTTCAGTCAACACCTTGGCACATATCTCCTTGCCGAATGGTGAAAGGTTTGATTTACGATGAGCCAAACGATACAAAATTGTTTCCGTGCTACCGCGGAGATCTCAGATGAAGTGAATTTTTTGTTTTTAACATAAGTTTATAGCCTCGATATGCGCAGCCCTCAACAGAAGAACGATGACATCTTTCTTCATAATTTTAAAGACAAATAAACCCGGCTTCCTATTTTAGATTGTGCTTAGAGTGGTTAATCCAAATTCGTTTCAACATTTTAACAAAAACTAGACCTTATTTTTCCGTAAGCGAAAACTTTACAACTTTGAGATAGCTTAAAAATGTTCATAAAATACAATTAATAAAAACATTCGTCTTAGATAAGTCTTAAATGTCGAGACCTCTATAAACAAGCTCGCGACTCAAGAAAGAGGATTGGGCCGGCGAAGTTAGTTGCAGAATTAAGCACGTCACAAACTCTTCAATGTTATACATTATTATATAAATCAAATATACCGAGTTAATTTATCACAACCACAACAAACTTAAATTAATTAAACAAATTCAGGGTTTGGATTCGAAGAAATCGTTGAGCTTAAGCATAAGGCATAAAATGCGATGTGTGTGGTTTTTGGTAGTATAACATGATAAGAGCAACAATGTTTCTTCATCATTAGTCACATTGTACTATGGGTGAAAATGGAAATATTCCTGGCTTGAATATTTGGTAGCAGGACTTCACATATATTTGCCATCATCGCATTTGGCCCCGCATTGTGCAACAATTCAGATCTGCCACAGAGAATCAACAATTAAGTGTGAGAAAGTTCTTATTTCAAGTACTTCTATGTAATGACTCACGTAACCGAATATTTCAATTTATTAACCATTGTGCATCCTTTTATAGCTGACAAGGCGCTGTTCCCCACACACAGCACTCGAATTGTAAGTTTAACATTTTATTTGGGCTACAAGTAGTTTTGGGTTTGTTGCTCTTTTGCTTTCGGTCGTTATCATAAAATGTAATTTAATACAGGCTCGCATTCATACTAGCGTTCCTCTATATATATATATATATATATATGTCTCTCTCTTTATTTGCTCGTAAATTGTGTGTTGCCGTTGCCTCAACTGTTTATCATTGCGCATAAGGGGCACTTGCCACATTTTTGGTTTTTGTTAATTTGCTACATTTTGAAATGTTTATGGCACATTCGAGTGTCTGCAAAATGAAAACAATTCGTATATTTCTTGCTAAATCACCCAAAAGTGACTGCCAAATCCAAGCGGTCGCCCATTAAAATCAGCCATAGTCCTTTTAAAAAGTCACCAGGGATGCCAATGGCGTGTTTCGAAAGTGTCATCACATTTCTGACCAATATCAAATTCAAATAGCCAACTGCCATGAAACTCTTATATTTAAACATCACGATGTTACGATGTTTATTTTTTAATATCCCCATAAAGTAAATATATTAATAATCAACATCACTAGTCGACTTTTTAAAATGTCGTCAGCAAAATCTGCATAATAGAAAAAAAATCGTCCTGAAATATAGATATGCGCCGTATTTTTAGCGCCAAGCTCCGCTCTCCTTATTATTCAGAGTGCGAAGTGGCTTGAGTAACGCGGATTCCAAGAAAGACAACAACTTATAACTAACAGAGGAGACGAGCCAGCAAATTTCATTAATGGCTTTTAAATTTTAATATTTATTATTTCTAAGAATAAGGGTTGGCATTTCTACTTTTTATACCATTCTTAGATAAATACATTGTAATAATATTTCTGAACATTTTACAAAGCTTTTTTAATTTAAAGAATTTATTTTTCTTATCCATCGGACTTATTTTTAAAAGCAAGTACAATTTTCTGATTCTTAGGCCGATTTTCTAAACTTCTGGGTGATTTTTTTCTGATTGTTGTAACTTCATCTTTGGGTTATTGATGTCTGAAATCCGAATATTACATACAAAA